CTGGCTGGCTGTCCATTCGTCCTACTACCACACACCAGTGCAGTGCGAGGGGGCATCCACTCCCGTCTCTCCTCCTTCGAAGACTGCTCCCTCTCAAAAAGAGACGCCCCCCCCCGCCCAATGCATTTCACCTAGGCACCTCACCCCCTTGCCGGATATAGGTCCGTCCAGTCTTTCCGCTCCAACTGACGAACAACCTATACTTCCAGGTTCTTGGTTGAACCCTCAGTCAAAAGGGCAAATCGGATGCCGGGAAAGTGACGAGACAATTCGACCATCCATCCGCTCAGGTTCGACAGCACTGCCAGAAACCGCCCCCTGGACCCTCACGACCTGGCCACGCGGGCACCGAGAAACCGATATCATATCGAGTCATCGCCATCCAAACTCGACAAAAGAGCATCAGGCAACGTAGCCTCGACCGAGAACCCCTTCTACGAACAGAGAACGGCCCGGAAGACAAGGACGTGTCGCGACCGACAGGAATTCGGACCACCGTCGTCATCATCATCACGCCGGTTACCTGGACGTATACCTACATACATATCTGATCTTGCATCAGCTCTCTCTCTCTCTCTCTCACTAGACTCTTTTATTCTTCGAGCCAGCGCTTTACAAGACCACCACACCAAGGAGCGGTCGGCGAATCGATGCCCGTGTTGCCTCACTTTCTCACCACTCCTTACCCGCCGACGCCTCAGCCTTTCGACCACTCAGATCGTCTGTCGCGACAGCTGTTCTTTCCATAGCCTCTAGCGCCGAGTAAACTTTTGGATCACCCTTCCAATCTAATTCCCGCCGACGTCAGACCCTTGAAATAGGGGACAAAGTGCATCCGTCCCTCATAAGCATCTACCTACGTCGACCTAGCGCACCTTGGACGCTCGACTTCTGCAAAGGTTACTTGTACATCACCTGCTTACTTACACCACCCGAGGCTCAGCGACCGGAACATGATCTTCGGCCCTTGATATTCTACACCATCGCTTGCTTCTACCCGTCACCACGACACGCTCAATATGCTAATGACACAGACGCCTGTGTCGCTACTTCAGGGTCAGAATACCACCAGTTCCTACAATACCCAGTCTCAGAAAACATCCTACGATCGACGCGACCCCGCTGCCGCCGACTCAAGCCACGCGACGACTTTGGTCGACCCCAACGACTCCTCCTTCTTCTTTGCGACCGACCCTGTTTCCTCCATGAATGGCGTTGTAGGCACGGCGCCCGCGGGCACCATGTATGTCCGCGCGCTGTACGATTACGAGGCAGACGACAGGACCAGTCTTAGCTTTCACGAGGGCGATATAATCCAGGTTATCACACAGCTTGAAAGCGGTTGGTGGGATGGTGTCATCAACGGTGTCAGAGGATGGTTTCCCAGTAATTACTGCGAGGTAATCGCTAGCCCCGATGACGCTCCAGGCGAGACCGAGGAGAAGGCCAACCCCGAACAAGTAGTGGAGGAAGAGGCCGAAGACCACGATGTCTACCACGAGAGCTTTGACGAGGATGATGCATCGGATCGCGATGATGACCCTGATTCTCTTCCCATTGAGGGAACCGATGGCGATCGATCCAGGGCTGATTTCTGGATCCCTCAAGCCACCCCCCTGGGCCACTTGTTCTACTACAACACCATGACCGGCGAGAGCAGCAATGAATTGCCGCTTGAGTCGCCTGCTTCTGTTAACGAGACCGGTCCCCGTGACCGCATGAATGTGACGATACCCGACCGGACCAGGCCGCCTCCCGAGATGATGGCACGTGGTTTGACCCAGGATGAAGAGGATGAAGACGATATCACCTCGGCCTCAGAAGTCGAGGGTGAAACTTTCATGACTGCATCCAGAGGATCACTTGTAAGTTCACACAAAACTTGATCACACTCAGCTGTTTTTTTTTTAGGACAATGAGGGGCTTACTCCAATACAGCCCAAGAACCGCCGCTTATACGATGGCGTCTCACCGTCCACGTCCATGGATTCTATCAACGGACAGCCCTCCGGTAATAGGGGCCGTACCGAGACATATTTCAGCAGCAATCACCATCTAGTGCCTATGACATCGACAACCGCATTCACTAGCACGACTTTCAACCTCCCTACCGCCGCTACAATTCCTCGATCCTTCTTTGACGATGGTTCTATGCAACCTCTCACTTGGAGCCGACTGGTTGCCAACATGAAGAAGGCAATTGACCGTTATCGCGAGGCCATCAAGAACAACCACCGGTCCGAGTACGTTGCCCGCGCCGAGGACATTTCTGACCATTTGCGCCTTCTCCTGGCGGCTGGTTCAGGGACAACCGACAACCATTCAGGCCAGCCTTCCATCATCTCGACCAACAAGGCGCTATACCCTCATTTCCGCGATATGATGTCAAAGTTTTCCAAGCTCGTGATTTCCTCGCACATTGCTGCTGCCGATTGGCCCAACGCCGAGTCCGTCCAAAAGTGTCTGCAGGAGGCTGATGGCGTCCTCATGGGAGTTTACAGCTATGTCGAAGTTGCTAGGCAGCAGAGAGGTGAAGACATTCCTCGGCTGTTCCCTGGGTTCGTAATTGGGTCCACCTCTGGTGGGAGTTGGCAGACTAATGGCCTCGGCCCTCACGACCCTATTACCTCCAATTTCCTCGATGATGAAGAGGGTGTAGTGGAGCCCACTGCCATCCTCGACAGCAAGTTGTTGGAAAGGCTGGATGAGCTGAAGCGCATGCTGGTTTCCGGCATTCGCGAACTGGACAAGAGCTTGGTTGTCACGGATAAGGTGGTGACGCCTTTCAGGCACGAAGTAATCAGCAACAATATTTGCGCTGCCGGTGGCAAGGTCGTGGACATGTTCAAGCCATGGATTGCCACGATTGAGTCTATCGACCTTTCTTGCCTTGGCAGCAACGGGTTCCAGCAGCCGCAGCTTCTTGATTTTGCGACAAACAAACAAAGCTTGTACGACAACATTTCCGACCTGGTGCTTGGCTGCCAGGCCGTCGCTGGCCCGCTCGCTGATGAATGGTCCGAGGTGCGGGGCCATGCTTTGGAAGAGAGATTGGACTATGTTCGTCAGTGTGCTCGAGCATTGGAGACCAACTCCTCGCACATCGGCTTCTCTCTCCAACTACTCTCAGAGCAAGTCCAGATGGTCATGCAGCAACAAGCAGAAGCTCGTGCACGTGAACCTATGCAACGAGCACCGCTCAGCAGAGGTGACTCGTTGCCGTATGAGCGGCACTTGAGGACTGACTCTGCCTTCTTGAGACCGGTATTGATGAGCTCAGCATCGTTTTCGGAGGGCGATCCCACTGCTCCCACGTTCCAGCGGAAGGGTGACCCGTCAAAGATGAAGAAATTCTTCGGAGAAGATCCCACGCCGATTCAGCCTGTGGATGACACACCTGAGTTCTTGCGTCTGGACTACGAAGCTGAGCTATCTTGGGATCAGAAGGTGCAGCCGCCCGTCGTCAAGGGTGGTAGTCTCCTCGCTTTGGTGGAGCAGCTTACCCGCCACGACAAGCTTGACTCGAACTTCAATAACACCTTCCTGTTGACGTACAAGTCCTTTACTTCGGCTCGCGTACTGTTCGAGTTACTCGTAAAGAGATTCGGCATCCAACCACCCGAGGGCCTCACCCAGACCCAGTATGAGCAGTGGCGTGATAGCAAGCAGAAGCTTATCCGCTTCCGAGTGGTCAACATTCTTAAGAACTGGTTCGATAACTTTTGGATGGAAGATCAGAGTGAGGAGACAAAGCAGCTAATCCTTGATGTCTACAACTTCGTCAATGAGACAGTGAAGTCGACAGAGACACCAGGTTCCAAGGGCTTGATGGCCGTCTTGGAACAGCGGCGGAGCGGCAAGGAAGTCAATGTTCGTCGCATGATCCAGACGGTCAACCAGAATACGCCTGCGCCAATCATGCCAAAGAACATGAAGAAGCTCAAGTTTCTGGATATTGATGTCACTGAATTTGCGCGCCAGCTTACTATCATCGAGTCGCGCCTGTATGGCAAGATCAAGTCTACAGAATGTCTCAACAAGACATGGCAGAAGAAGGTTGCCGAAGGGGAGCCAGAACCAGCACCTAATGTCAAGGCCCTTATTCTGCACTCGAACCAGATGACCAACTGGGTGGCTGAGATGATTTTGGCGCAAACCGATGTTAGGAAGCGTGTTGTCGTCATAAAACACTTCGTTGCCGTTGCCGACAAGTGCCGGGCTCTTAACAACTTCTCTACACTTACATCGATCATTTCAGCTTTGGGAACCGCACCCATTGCCCGCTTGAAAAGAACATGGGATCAGATTCCTCAGCGCGTTCTCGCGACGCTTGAAACCATGAGAAAGCTCATGGCTAGTACTAAGAACTTTGGTGAATACAGAGAGGCGTTGCATTTGTCCAACCCTCCATGCATTCCCTTCTTTGGTAAGAAACCATGGTGAAGCCTTATGTTCTGGTCGAATGCTAACCTGAGATTCTTAGGTGTGTATCTTACGGATCTTACCTTCATTGAAGATGGTATCCCGTCGGTTCTGAAGAAGACGAACCAGATCAACTTTGCGAAGCGGGCGAAGACCGCAGACGTTATCGGAGATATCCAGCAGTATCAAAACGTCGCATATTCGCTACAGCCAGTACCTGAACTTCAGGAGTATATCTTGACCAATATGCAAGCTGCCGGAGACGTGCACGAGATGTACGACAAGAGTTTGCAAATCGAGCCCCGCGAGAGAGAAGATGAGAAGATCGTCAGGTATGTAGAGCCAAAATTCCGCTAGGTGGCTGTGAATGGGGGTGCCTTTCTTTTCAGTGAGGTGATGAAGGGAGGACGGCATGGGCACGCAATCTTGATTGGCCTCGTACTTCTTCGGACATCACTCAACTCGGCTGGTAGTCCTAGCTTTGTCACTTCCCGCACCCCTTCGTGACCCGCTGGGTTCAGCCGGGCCAGCACATCCATCACCCTTTTTCGTTATCGTTTGTGCGGATTATTAACTTCTTCTTTTTGTACTTTACAGAGTTCTGGCTGAGTCTGGATTCCTATGATCCAACAAACTCCACGTATCTTCGTCCGACACCGAGCCATTTTTACATCGATGATTTTGTCGAAAGTACCACAGCGGAAAACGCTTTACTTAGCTGCCTTCCTTCCGAGCAGCGCTACAAAGTACCTTACGTCGGCCAAGCCGCTATGCTATATATCATATTTCTTAGTACGAGGTACAAACTGTTTGTTAAGCTCAATGCTGCGGAGCAGTTGTGGTCACCCTTCAAGACCTAAGATGCCCGGCGAACAAGTTCATCACAAATACTCATGTTGCGGAACGTCGAACTTATGATGGTTTTATTACTCGACGTAACGTACCGGATGCCATTGGATGAAAGAGCACTTTCTTCGGGGCGAGCACTGCTGCGCCAACAAGGACGAGCAGCAACACTAAAGCTTAATCGAACGCTGCAAAGCTGGTCACATCCGAAGCAGATTCAGCCTGTGGAACCGATTCAAAAGAAGAATCCAAGGAAGAGCCTACGCATCCTACTCTCTTCCCTGTTCCGTGAAGCAAGACGGACGATTGAGCCGCGTGTGGGGTGGATTGGGATGAATGTAAAGGGTCAGTTGGATGAGGAACACAAAGGGGGGCTCGCCGCAGAAGTATCTGTTGGCGCACGAAGAAGCAAAAGAATGATACCACGCGATGAGGGTTGGGATGAGCATATGGGCTGAAATGGGGATATATCCAAACACTATTTGTCTCCAAATGTTGAAAGAAGAGGAGAGATAGGCATAGATCTACTTCCTCTTGTTGTCACAAGATTTTATGCTGAGAACATTTAAGCGGCCACGAATCATTTTATGGATGGCAAGGTCTATCAATATTACTACCACTATACATATGTACAGATTAGGTTCAATGGATCTATGGGTGGAACGATTGGTTTTGACACAACACTTTTTGTTTTCTTGATGTTTGTTACAGTGTTGTCTAAGCGTGGTGACAACGATACAATCGTGGAATTTTTCATCTTTAATTCCTTTGCAAACATGAGGACTATGCCTCGCCTCGATGTTTAGACCCCCTAAGCACGGAACCATATACACCGACCGATGCATAACTCGCTCAGAACTAGATCGAACAAAACAAGACAATCTGCTGACATTACCTTTACCGATGGGCAATATAAGTTAAAATGCCCAGGGGCACCATGTTCCCCCGTACCTCGAAAACCTTTCCCACATCCCAATCGCACGATGTCGCCCGTCCATGTAGTTTACACCATATAGCCGAGGCCCAGACTACCTGGGTTCCCCCTTACCCTGGGCTCCCCCGCCTTCACAACCTTGACTGACCCTGGATTCCTACGTACATGTGTATATCCTCCGCATTACCCCCAAGCTTCTTCCAACAACTTGTGTACGTTTGTACGTCTACTGTAGTATCTTCCTTTGAAAAGATAGGTGAACACGCTTTATAGACTGAAGGACGGACAAGGGAGGATGGATTTTACACATGTTTGGTACTACGTGAATGTATCAGGATGTATTGTCATAATGAAGGAGAGAAAGTGTTTTCATTTGTTCACAACTTTGCCCTATACCTTTTTGCTTTCTAGGATTATATTTACAATAAACCTGAACATCGTCAGCCACTTGATACAAATAAGTAGAGGTAGCAAGCACTATGATCTCTCACACACACTGACTGTGATGTGATGCGTTACTGCTAATATGCGCTATAGCGGTATCGTGACATGAGAACCTCCCCCTCCCTGCCTGTTCCGCTCCGTGATCCTCCTCCTCTTCTTCCCGGGCGCCCCAGGCCCGATTGTGTATGCCCCTGTCCATGGCCCTATGCTTTCATCGTGAGCAGCAAAGCCAAGCATTTTCTTTGCTTCAAGCACAATTTCTATATCCACCATGCGGCGCCGTTTCCTGCTATTGTCATGCAGCACTATTGTTGAGGTATCATCAGTGAGAAAACTTGGGCTTTTAGTGTCGCTTCCCTTGTGTTCATTGTCACAGCCACTTTCACTCTCTTCACTCTCCCCATTTCCTTGACCACCAGCTTCGTTACTTCCACCGTGCACACTCTCTTGCATTGAGTTCACTTCTTCTAGTTCAGAAGGAGGTGTTATCGATGATGACGATGCCCTTAGTCCCTTATCAGTGGTGGTGGTGGTGGTGACCCTCTCCAAAATCTCCCTTTCTGCATCTACATCGCTGACAGAACTCATGTTTATGCTTCCTGAAGACGATGACCTCTTTCCTTCCTGCCCCTCTTGCTCCTGCTGCTGATCCTCCTCCCGTTCATGTCGCTCTTCAGAAGACAACAGTCCCAGAGGAGGACTAGACATAGAACCAGGATCGGGGCTAGGATTAAGAAGAAGACCATCCTGCTTTCCCGCCGCCGCCGCCGCCGCCGCCGCCGCCGCCGCCGTGATTTCTAGTATGGCCTTCTTCAACTCCCCGGCCTCTTTCTCTAACCGGTCCGCTTTCTCCCTTAGGGCTTCCAGCGCAGAATTCTTGAGGTCCAGAGCCTTGCCGGTTTTGAGGCACAGGGTCTTGACAATCTGGACAGTCTGCGTCGCTGACTGGGAGTTATGTAGAGCAGAGAGATAGTGTTGTTGGATGTCGTGGGAGGATTGTGGTGTTGGAAGGTTACTATGTTCGTGTCCGCCTTCTGTCGCTGCCACTGCCACTGTTGCTGCAGGTGATAGTAGAGGCGGAGAGGGTGTGGACTCGAGTTTGACAAAGAGGGATTCGACGAAGGCTTGGTTGTAGAGATTGTCGTTTGAGGTGCTGGTCGAGGTGTCAGAGTCAGAGTCAGAGTCAGAGTCAGGATCAGAGTCGGAGTCAGAGTCGTCCTCTTCGGAGTCTTCGGAGTCGGTGGCTGATTCATCACTTTCGCTCTGCTCGGAATCGGATTCTTCTTCGTCTTCCCAATCACCTTCATCGTCATTCTCGTCAGGGATGTAATCCATCGCCGCTGCTGCCGCTGCTGCTTCAGCAGCTGTTGGTCCCCATAACATCCTCACGCCATCCTTGGGCTTCCTCATCTTCTGTGCTGGCACAAGCCCCCCCATTACCTCCTCACCCCATATCCCATCTTCACCCTCCGCCCTTCCAACTATCAATTTGATATCCGGATTCCGTTCCAAAAACTGTTGGATTAAAATACCCAACCATTCCTCATCCTGGAGATCCAAGTCCACTTCCTGCCCGTCAAATAATAACGACAATGCCATGCTAGTCAGTTTAGCACGACTCGGTGCTCCTCTCCCTAGTGACTCTTCGCGAAGGTACCAGTTCACCAGGTATCGTTCCTGGATATCAGACAGTTGCATACTTTGACGTCGTGCCAATACCAGCTTTGACGACGGAGGTGAGGTGACGTTACTCTCAGCGTCAATGATCTCATCGTCACCACCATCATTCGCCTCCGAACCCAATTCCGATTCCGATTCCTCCAGTTCCTCCAAGTCAAAGTCGCTTATCAAGTCCTCAACCCTTGTCATCCTTCCCCTGCCGGCCCCACTAGCAATAGCATTACCATTAGTATCGGCTTTGACAGGATCCATGAATAACAGATCAACATCCACCCCCTGCTTTTTCAAAGCCCCCTTCCTCGCGCTCAAGGTGCTCTTGTGAATTCCATACTTCCTCGCAAAATAGAGGAGGCTCGGCCGCGGATTGCTGCAGAGGTACTCCTCCCAGGCAGCATCGCATCGCTCAGCTCTGGACATGTAGTCTAAAGGGTTGTTGTCGTTGTTACATTTCTCTTTGCTTCTGCTGCTGTTGCTGGTGCTGCTGTTGCTGGTGCTGGTGCTGGTGCTGTTGCTGTTGCTGCTGCTAACCCCGGCGTTCACGCTTGTCTGTGCGGCGGCTTTGATTCGGCTGCTGCTTCTGAGACCTAGACCTCGCCCTCGCTCTCGCTCTTGATGTGATTGTGGTTGTGGTCGTGGCTGTGACGCGCTCTCCTTCTCCTTCTCCTTCTTCTTTTCTGTCGGGTCCTGTTTCTGACTTTCACCTTGTCCTTGGTCCTGTCGTGGCCGTTGGCTTGTGCTGCGTCTGGCTCTGATTACCGCTGCTATTGCCTTTTCCGCTGAGCCTCCACTGGGCTGTTGTCGTTGTTGTCGTTGTTGTTGGACTTGTACATCTCCATGCCTACTACTACTACTACTACTACCACCAGTAGTAATGTAGGTGTTCCGCTTTGCTGGCATCCTTCCTGGAATCGTTGAGGATGGGACATTGATACCGGCTGCTCTCAACTTAGCGGCCCTGCCGAAGAGCGTCCGACGACCCACGCCGAATCTTTTGGCGACGTGCTTGTAACAATGACCGGGATTTTGGATGATGTACTCCATGGCAGAGTTGATGCGATCTACTCTTGCTCTTAGTGTGGATAGACTTCTGGCTTGTTTTGGTCCACTTGCAGAGGTTGGTGCTGGTGTCGGTACTGCTGCTGTTGGTGGTGGTCGTAGTGGCGGTGGCGGCGGCGGGATGCTCTTGCCTGGAATACCAGGCTTGACTCCGGCTTCTTGTTGTCGACGTGAACTCGGAGGATTACTCCTCAGGTTGATTGCCCTTTCGCTCCTGGTTTTCTTTCCGCTATCCCCAGGACTTCTAGCAACATCCTTCGACATTTTCGTCAAAGCTATCCTCTTGTTCATGGTGCTCGGATGTAGACCGTACTTTTTAGCGATGTCAAGGCCAGACACCGGGGGACTGCTGTGAAGGTATTCGTCAAAGGCGGCTTCTACGACTTCTCGAGAGGCTTTCTTGCCTGGCTTGGGAATGGGAAATGTGAGGCTTTGTCGCTCTGGTCCTGTTGCCGTTGTTGGCCTTGCTAACGCTGCCGGTGTCTCAATCCTTGAACCTTCCATGGTCTCTTCATCACTGTCCAGAGCCTCGGTTGCATCGTTCTCCTTCTTCTTCCTTTTCTCCCTCCACAGTCTCATTGTAAGACTGCCAACCGAAACGCCATACCGCCTGGCATAAAAGCGCATATCGAATCCCCCAGGGTTGTTGTGGAGGTAGTCATGAAGCGCGGCACTCACGCTATTGCTCTTGATTATTCGGTTCCCAGGTCGTCGGTGCGAAAGCGGCTGAGGTCCGGTCCTGGGCTCCATTTCGCCGTCGCGATTTGCACCTTGCGGACCCTTGTTCTCAAATTCTGGCATGTGTGAATTGTAGCCAGACCTATCTGTGAACGGGGAACTTGAGTCACTGGACCATTAGGTGTGGCCCAGGAATGTGAAGAACTGTGCTTGTTGATGATGTTGATGTCTCCAAAGTAGGGTGGGGTGGAGAGGTGTTGTCAACGGCGGGGAGGCCCAGGGACAGAGCCGCCAGCAGTACATTGCATGACGCGCCGTAAACCACTGAATCCCGGACGTGCTTCAGGGCAGGAGCAAAGTCGCTAAATTGACTTTGCTATCGATATTCGGCAAAGGTATTATTGATGTAGACCCAACAGGGCATGCAGTTGAAGTAATCAGTGGTAGGAAAGATATCAAGACCGCCACCTCGTCGACCCCTTCTTTTTCACCCAATAATTTACAACCAACCAGTCTTAATCACTCACTTATAGCTAGCTCACCCGCTTTCTACAAGTCTACTGCAGCGTGATCTGGTAGTGTGTTGGACAACGTGCAGTAGTGTAGTTACGCCCAGGGCTTATACTGCGCGCCCAATTTGTCCTTCTAACTCCCTCTCAAGTTGTTGAATTAGTACCTTGAAGTACTCCAAGTACACAACTAGGGCTGTATGGGATTTATGTCGTAGATCATGTACCTCGAAAGCTAACGTCATGTGCTTTTCGTTTTCACACCAGTTCGGTCATCTCTCTGTGGAAAATGATTGGTACTCACCTCGCTCAAAAACCTCCTCATTGCCTTATAATTCAAGCAATGCCGACGTTAATGTCCGTTTGGCCAGAATAGAGAATGACTGGGATTCATGAATACGTGATAACACACAATAATCCGTCTTCACCTAGACGGCGCCCTCATATCGTACCTGAACGCCGATGCTTTTGCCAACTTTTGCCCTAGCTGAAATTGGTTTCGATTCGCCCTTTATCAAGTTCTCATCCGAATCAAACGCCGCAACTCCTAATGTGGACATCGCGAGCCCTGGAACTTCCTTGTGTAATTGATTCGGACTCATGTCGTTTATCTTCTCGCTTAATCGTGAATGGCTCAGCCCACATCGAGACTCTTTCTCAGTCGCCAAGCTAATCGCGGTCGTCCCGATTCCTGTACTTCTCCCGATATCGATCCCTATCCGGAGACCGGCTGTAACTCCTGCTCCTGCTCCGGCTTAGGCTGCGATCCTGGCTGTCCGCAACCCTTCTACGGGGTGGGCTCCGGCTCCGACTGTAGCTCCTGCTGCGGCTTCTGCTCCTGCTTAGGCTCCTCTCCGACACCGGGCTTCTAGACCGGCCCGTATCCCTGACTGGGCTTCTCGTACGACTTCTCTCCCTGATGGGGCTTCTGCTCCTGCTCCTGTCCCTTCCAGCGGCGCCTCGATAGCTGTCAACCTCCCTGTCCCTCCCTCCTCTTCCACCTCTTCCACCCCTTCCTCTCGGAGTTGGCGGCCTGTCCCAATCCCTGGGAGGAGCGCGGCGCTCCCTAGAATTGAGTCTGCCCTCGTCCCTATCCCTGCGACCATAACCACGACCACGACCACGGTCATTGCCACCAGACGGCCCAGTTGGTGCAGGCGGGGGCGGCATGCTGCTGCTGTCACCATTTGCTTCCCGCTCAAGTGCACCCTTCAGCCTCTCTTCCTGCTTTTTCCAGTGGCTTCCCTCTTGGTAGTCCCGGCTAATCTTCAGCGCCTGGCGCAACCGCTCGCTCTCCTTGATCTTGGCGTCGGCTAGTTCGTGGACCTGGTGCATCTTCAAGTTCTTGCGGGGACCGGTGGGCGCACCGCGACTGTTTTGGTTGCGCTCCATTTCCGCGAGGAGTTTCTGGCGAAGTTCGTCGCAGCGGGTTTCGATTTCATCTTCTTCGACGCTGCCACCGGTGTTAGCAAGCAGCAGCAGGTGCTGGAGATGGGTCCACAAAGCCAACTCACCCCTCTTCTTCCAACTTGTCGCGCAATTCGAATACCTTCACTTCGACTTCACGCTTGCGATCGTGCTCGAGAAGGCCCTTGTCTGGCTGGCGCGGTTGGTGTTTTAGGCTGTCAAAGTCCTTGGGTGGGTAGGACTGGTAGTTGTCGCGCGGGCGGAAGTGGGCGAGGTTCCGCTGGACATAGCCAGAGGTACCGCTACCACGCGGCGTGGAAAGACCGACATTATCGGACATTGTTGGTCAGTTTCGGGGATATGATGATGTTGTTGGTGTTGTTGTTGTTGTTGATGATGATGATGATGTAACGGGAAGAAAAGCAGTTGGCCAGTCCTGGGCGGTGATCAATCGAGGTAGCGCTCACTGAAGGCGGTGAAAGGTTATCAACAGTTCGCAGTTGGAGTTGGGGTTGGAATGCGCCGGCAGAATTGTGGATCCAGCTTGATATGTGGGGTCACTCAGCGAGCGGGGCACTGACGTTCTCGAATTCTCGACCCTGCGGGGTGCGATTTTCTTTGCAGAAGGAAAAGTCCCTTTGCGTTGGATCGCCCGAGCGGATCTTCCACAGTTTGTTCAAACATTTGCCCCGCAGCGACCTTGACGACCTCTTGCGCAACTCCGAACACATCATCCAGACGTGACACCCCCTCAACAAACACCTTCACCATGCCTGCTCTCGATGGCATCCTAGAAGCCGCCAACGCGCCGCAACAAGATGGCCAAATCACCTTCCCTCCCGTCACGCGGGACCACATCCTCCACTGCTCCTACGACTACTGGTTCCCCAAGTACCGCACCTCATGCATCCGCTCGCGCGTGATCCCGCTCAGCCGCGAGTTCATCTCGTACATCCGCGAAGACGGTATCATCCTGGCCGACGACGAGCCGGGCAACGAGAACGACTCTGACGACGATGACGACTGGGAGCCCACCGTCCCCTCTTCCGAGATACCCGCTCCTCCCCGCAACCCCGGCGACGCCGACAACGACTCGGACTCGGACGACGAGGACTCCACGCCTGCCAAGCTGCCCCCCAACAAGCGCTTCCCCGACCTCCACAACGCCATCAACGCAGCCATCAAGGCCCTCGGCGGCGCCGCTGCCCCCAAGCTCAACTGGTCTTCGCCCAAGGACGCGACCTGGATCTCGCGCCACCCCAACACGGTGAAATGCACCTCGGCCAACGACGTCTACATCCTCCTCAAGTCCTCGTCCTTCATCAGCCACGATCTCGATCACGCCTTTGACGACTGCGTCCCCTCGACGACAACCACCCCACAACCCCCCTCCTCGACGGCGGCGGCGGCGCAAGCGCAGCAACAACAACCCCAGGGCTTCACCCCCGTTCTCGTCCTCCGCTCCTTCTTCTCCCCGCTCCCGTCTCTCGAATTCCGCTGCTTCGTCAAGGACCGCAACCTCATCGCCATCACCCAGCGAGACCTCAACTACTACGCCTTCCTGCGCAGCTTGCGGCCGGCCATCATCGCGCGTTGTCGCGAGCTGTTCAACACCAAGCTCAAGTACACGTTTCCCGATTCGTCGTTTGTGTTTGACGTGTATATCCCCGAGGCCGCATACCGGTCCGACTCTGAGAGTGACGATGACGAAACCTCGGAGGCTAGAAGCAGATTGGCGAGGGCGAGGTTGATCGATATCAACCCGTGGGCGCCGCGGACGGATACGATTTTGTTCGGGTGGGAGGAGTTGTTGGAGGCGGAGGTCAAGATGCCTGTGTTGGGGACGGCGGAGTCAACACCAGAGAAGAAGGAGGAGACAGTGAGGTTACGGTTTTCTGCTACGGGAGCTGCTGCTGCTGCTGGGGGAGATGATAACCTTACGGAACCAGAAGAGGAGGACGACAACGAGCAGAATAACTTTGATGATGATGAGACGACGACGGACGATGAGCACGAAGAGGAGTACGAGGTTGAGCTGAGGCTGGTGGAGCAGGATGATCCGGCTGCGTACAACTTTAGCTCACCGCAGTACTCGGCGCATAAGATGCCGAAGGATGTGGTGGATGCTAGTATGGCGGGCGAGGGGGGCATGAGGGAGTTTGCTAGGGAGTGGCAGAGGTTACAGGAGCAGAGGGGAGGTGGTTCTAGCAGCTGAGCGAAGCGAAGATCATCTGGACATCAAGGACATCAGGAATATGGGATTTTTGAAAGGCTATACAAAGGTGTCAATTCATTCAGGTATATTACAAGCGACCAAAATCAAATGGAAAAGGCATTCCAGGTTAGGATAGGTTACTAAAAATTGGTATCTTTTCTATTTTTACACACATATACAATATCTTCACAACAACAAGAACAACACCTTTCCAACCCATACCCTGCCTGACTGACTGACCTTCTCAACTCCCAAATTACCTTCCTTAACCCCACCTCACACACCCGACCACTTTCCAAACCTCTCCCACCGTTTATACATCTCCCTGAAAATCACCCGTCCACTTGGATCCATGCCATCATTCATGATCCTCAACTCCCCTTCCGCCGGCGTGATATCCACAATACTAAACATGCCCGTCTCCAGCTGCTCCCTCACCACCAGGGGCACCACAAACTCCAGCTGCAGCTTCACGTACGCCATCAGCACCAAATACATGTGCTGGCCGGCGTAGCGCTTGGCCTTGTCCTTTTCGCTGTCGAGGGGTTGGTGTTGGTAGTTGTGATGTTCAGTATCCTTGGTGGTGGTGGAAGTGTTGGAGCGGGAAGAGACCGAAGCAACGGTCGGTTCAGTGATGAGCGTCAGGAGCCTCGACAAAAGCTTGGCGTGACGTTCCTTTGTTGAGTCCGACAAAAGCGAAGGGGCGTTGGACGTGGAGGAGGCGGATGAGATGAGTCGGCGGAGGAGGGATTGTAAGGCAGGGATCAAGATGTGGAAGTGTCCGTCTAGACGCTTTCTGTGGCGCTTGATAACGATCTCGACGAGGTGGCAGAGGGATTCGTAGGTCTTGGGGGTGGTGGTGAGCATGGTGGTAGACGAGACGTCACAGGCAATAGCGGACACGGCGCTGAGGGTTGAGTCGATGTTCCACTGGGTCATGCAGTTGGCCTTCTTGTCGAGGAGGAGGTAGACGATCTTGGCGATTTGGATGAACTGCGCTGGGGAGTTGGTTGCGTGGGAAAGCCTGCTACAGAGCAGGGTATGGGCATGGGCTAGATCGAAGTGTCCCTGCGAGGAGTCGTCGCGGACAGGTGGGCGAGTGCCGCTGATGTGCTGGATCAGCCTCTCCACGATAAGGAGGCGACTGCTGCCGTCAGAGGTCTCGCTCTCCCCAAGGAGGAGCTCCTTGAGATAACCGAGCTTGGTGTCTTCGTCAACGCTGCTGACTACCACATCGACATACTCCAGCACTGAGAGCTTCTCAAAGGCTGCGGCCACCGAGCCTAGCTTCTCGGCATCGTTGCCCTCTTCTTCACTGTCATCGGCTGTCGCTTGAGCGCCGGTGACGATCTGAAGAGGTGCGCCCAGCTCTTCCCTGAAATGCTTGGCGATGAAGGTGCGGACTTCCCAGCCAGCTTGGTAGCCATGTTCAAGAAGCCAGTTGCTAGCCTTGAGCAGGGTATCAACTGCAGAAGAGAACTTCTTCTTGACATCCTTGGGTTCTAGGACATCTGTGGCTTCCAAAGCCAGCAGCAAGGGCAGCAGCTTCTTTCCACGCCACTTCTTGGACGTGATAATGGGCTTGACTGTAGCGAGCAGGTTAAGAGAGTCTGCTTGATCCTTAATCTTTTCGTTCTCCCTGGCCACAGAGATAAACGCACGCAGTAAAACGAGACGGGGGGCGATGTAGGCTTCTTCAGAGTCGGACTTGAGCACGGTCAAGGCATTGGCGATATAAGCCTTTTCACGCTCTTCGGGGTAGGCAACACACATCTGTCTGTTCTCGTGTTAGTGCACCACACGAGCAAACAATTTCATATTTGACATACCGTATGGTTGACGTAGCCAACGCCTCCAAGAGACGGTAGTCCTCACGCTCTTGGAGGATTGTCTCCGTTGACCCCTTTTCTTCGGACTTCTTGTAGATCTTCCGGAGACACCTGCCAGCCGTCTCCAGGTCGTCGAACTTCATATCCTCGTAAAATGTGGGCTTTGACATGAGCTTGGTCATCAAGCTCAGCACAAGTGACCAATACTGCGCATCAACATGCTTGGGCTTGTCCACAATCTTCTTGGCCTGCGAGATCAGCCTCTTCATGATAGACTCCCTCTGTTGTCTGGTTAATGCCTCCATAGGCACCTCGAGCAAAAGCTGTATCGCGCCTCTTGCCACAATCAGAGACTCCGGGCCCTTGGGGGTCTCGATGAGTGAAATGGTCTTATCAACCAGACCACCAATAATCTTCTCGTTGCCAACAATGTTCTGATTCTCCAAGATCTGTTGAGCCAACACTTGAACACTGTCCAGGGTTCGGCTTTCGTCCTTTTCAGAGGGAGTAAGGGCGCTGATTAGTGTTGGTGGGAAAGCGGATTGCCTCTTTGTCAAAAGGCTGACCAGGTGAGGGCACCCTTCAAGAATCCAAGTCGTGTAGGAACTCTTGCTAACAGAGCTCTCGTCGCCCTTGGAGGTACCCTTGGTATCATCCTTCTTGTCTAGCTTGTCAACAAACGAGCTGGTCAGAGAGGCTGCCTCGTCATCATCAGCAAGCTTCACCCAAGCTGCCGCGCAACACTTGAATGCAGCAAAAGCCTCTGGAGAATATGTTTCCGAACGCTTGAGCGTAGTCTTCAGGTTCGAATGAACGCTTCCCCAGACAGACTTGGCATCTGCTACAGTCGCCCGGCTGATGGCCTTTTCAGCAACAGTCCACCGAGCTGTAGAGATGACGGACTTATCCTTTTTGTCAAACTTTTCCTTGGAGGCGATTTCGAGCGTGCGCATGTTGGCAGCATCAATATATGCTTCCAGGGACAGTCCGTTTGCGATAGCCGCAAGAATAATCAACTTAACACCCTTCTGTTTTGTCTTTTGCCCGTCGACCCAGCTAAGAATATCCACTAACTGACCAACAGTAAGAGATTGTTCAACGGTTTTCGCCACGGCATTCGCCAGTTGGCCACTTGTCCAAGGGAACCCGCTTGGCTCGTTCTTGTCAAGGTACGTTAGCCATGTCTTGATGAATCCCTGCAGGTCACGAGCCCGAGCATGGCCATTGACTAGGTGGATGAGGAACTCGGTCGCCTTATCAAACTTCTCCGCCTCCTTCTCCCTTGTGCAGAAAGTGTGCGCGAGAGCCTGGTCAAGAAGCACCTGTCCTTCTTGCGTAACCAAGAACACATCCGGGTTTAGCTTAGCGATGGAAAGGTGGAGCTTCCAGTTGAGCTTGTCCCCCTGAAGTCCATATGCCTTGCACACAGAGCGCAGGCTCTCGGCTGATAGAGGCAGCTGCTGGTCTGCCGCCATTTCCAGGACAGCTTCAACAGCAGGTTGGCTCTTGCTGGCGTCGGCACCCTTCAAAGCTGCCAGGATTCCATCAAAAACAGCCTGTATCCATTCCTCGTAATCTTTCTTTGTCGCCTTTTCGCTTAGCACACGCGGTGCCCTGGTGACGAGGTCGAAGAGAACAGGGTAGTTGGTAGAGGCGAAGTCGGAGGACATCTGGGTAGCGACTTGGATGACATCCTGAGCCCGGTTGTTTAGGAAGGCCGCTCGTGCAGGGAGGATCATGTTTCGTGTGAGGAAGCGACGGAGGTCCCGGGCCCATTGCTCTTGTACGGTGGTGTCGATAGTAAGGGAAGGGTGGCGCCGTGTGGCCGTCAGTCTGCTGAGGAGATGGGCGCCCAAGCCAGACAGCGAGACAGCGACGGCCGAAGCATCTTCGGGACCTTGGAGGTGGAGGTCCCAGAGGGTATAGAAAGTGGACATCCATGTGCTTTGTTCCTTGGACGACTCGAGCTCATCGCTTTTCGCGGCAAGATTGCAGATGGAAAGAATTGGCACCAGCATCTGCATAACATCCGAAGCAGATGAAGAGAAGAGCGACTTGATGTGTTCGGCACCCATACGATTGCTCGGCAGCCCGTCGGTTGACTTGATGTCGCATCGTGATAGAAGGATTCGGAGAGCTTCGAAGACAGCCTCGGCGGTTTGTAAGCATCCTGCGACTTGTTGTTGACTATTGAGATCGAATTTGGCGGCTGTTGTCCGTTTTCGTTTCCTCGAGTTCTGCGCAGTCTCGTCTGATGTAGCATCCTTCATCTCGACATCCGAGTCTCCCTTCTTGCTTTGTGGTGACGAGATGTCCTTGAGTGTCTGTTGCAGGACGGAAATGAATCGTCGGTCGGCGAGCGACTTCGCTAGGGAAAAGAGTGGGATCCAGGCGAAAACTGCGCCCATGATATTCCATGATAGGGGAAAGCGTCGGACTTGGTCGTTGATGGGGGCGGATCCAGACATGTTCTTGAGGAGCCATCGCAGCAGCATTTCCTCGGCAGCATGGAAGCTACCTCCCCTGTGTTTCGATAATGTGTTCCATACTGTCTCGAGTCTTTGGCCGATGGTGTCGGCGCTGTTACCGTCGAGTGCGCGGATGGCCTTGATGAGGGCGACCTCGCCTGTCTATGGGTGGTGGTGGCGGTGGTGTTAGTGGAAGTGTTCTCTTTGGCTGGGGTGGCACAGTAAGCTGTCAATGTGAAGCGACGTCCACTTACCCGAGACTCTGCGCTCTTCACACCCATTTTGAAGTAGAAATTGGGTATCTTAAAAGCCAAAATGCATAATGCGACAAACCGAGAAAGAGTGATGCTTGACCAGCTGAAGTGTTAGTGGAAGGTGTAGCTGTGTTACTGTTGACCGCCCCAGCACCATCTCCAAAATTTCCCAGGATTCTGCCGTCCCAATTCTGGCCCGGGACCCACTCTTGTCAGGGAAATCAATTGCGCCAAGACTCGAGAGCTGGTCACCGCCTTCGGGTGACGACGGAGACAGCCGACGAAGGACAAAGGCACCAATTGGCACTTGCTGGGGTCCATCCGCAATCCGCTCCCTCGCCGGGCCTGCGCTGGGAACATCTCCCGAGGGAAAATAACATCATCGACGTCTGCTGCTAACAGTTGAAGGTCGCGTGTTTCATCTGTCTTCGTCTGCTGCTCCACCCTCGTCCAGAGGGCACTCGCTACGCATATACAACAGGTCTGTATGTCCGTCTGCCATCTCGACTCGAAGCATGTGTCTATCAAGCCTTAGCCCGAGACAGGTAGCTATCGGCATGTTCTGTCCATGTTCTGTCCATGTTGTGTCCATGCTATGCCTCTGCTATGTCATAGCCAAGGTACAGCTATGGGCTGGACCTGTAGCTGCCGTGTCTCAGGTCTACTAGCTTAACAGACCAAGCAGAGTTCGCTACCTAACAACCTAGCTCCAACCAACCATTGTGCCTCGTCCAACCACTTCTCGATTTCGCGCGCCTTCAATCTTCTGACTTTCTTGCCTGCAGAGCTTCAAACCACCAAACCCACACATCATCACCATGTCCGACTCGACCTCTTCCCCCGTGGCCGCTGCCCCCTCGACCGCCATGACGCGTCCCGTCAGCGAGGCCCTTCTCAACGAGAAGGTGAGCTTCCCCCCATTGCACAATTGCTCCAGGCCTCGGATACAAACCTCCCACGGCCTTGGGCGCAAAGCCCCGCATTGGGTCCCATCTAGATAGCTTCATCTGCGCTGTGCCGGCTTTGCTAACAACGGTGCCAATCGCTAGTGGGACCGCTGCCTCTCCAACCTCCTCATCAAGTCCACCCTCGGCCTCGGCTTCGGTGTCGTCTTCTCCGTCCTCATCTTCAAGCGGAGGGCGTGGCCCGCCTTCGTCGGCGTCGGTTTCGGTGCCGGCCGCGCGTATGAGGAGTGCAACACCAGCCTGAAGCAGGCCGCCAGGGAAATCCGTGCCCAGGCCTAAGCCGGTCAATTGAACTGAGAGGAGGAGGAAGATCAAAAAGCTTGATTCGGAGTACTCGGTGTTGGAGGAGACGGCCAAGGGAAAAGAAGGGATGTCTTATCATTCTTAGGTTCGGGGCAGAGCGAAAGAGACAAGAGACAATGCTAGAGGAGTCACGATGCGCCAAAGACCCAGAGACCCAGACAGACGAGACGGAGCCGCGGATTCCCCCCCACAAGCAAGAGACTACGATTATTCCCTTTGTGTGTACAACCAAAACGTTCAACGACATAGAGTAGGAGACAGCTGACAGAAAGATGGGCGTGGATGACATGCAACTGCTGTGGATGTTCGGGTTTGTATGACGAGCGACTGACAGGAACAATAGACCAATCTCATTACTATCTACCCAAACAGACCCAAGCTGATAGAGAGCCTTCAGTAGGCCAAGATAACATCAGTCCACAAGCGAGCATTCGACAAGGACTTGAATAAAATACAACAACTAAAGTTTAATTGGGAAAATGAGGTGCTCTCAGTCATACGAGGTATCCAACCACGGCAACTTTATCTCCAAGTTCCCTCGGCCTAGCATTACCAATAGCCTCCTTTCTCCGGGTCTTGCACTCCATGTTGGTCACCCAGCCCAGAAAATCTCCTGAGAACTTGCACCCAGGATCCACGCCTTCTCTTACTACCACCACCACCGCCATCACGTTCTTCAGTCCCGTCAAACCTCCCTCCAAATCTCCCCAAATCAGCACTCAGCCCACTCGTTCTTCCAACACCCATCTCAGCATTCCCTTCCCTGGCAATGGTTGTGGCAGTGGCAGTGGCAGCAGACCCTTTGCGTTCTCTGAGGCCAGTCTCACCGCCATCGCTCATCCTCCTCCCCAATCCCATCGTGAAAGTATTGCTCCTCTTCCTCGTTGCTGTCTTCTGCTGCTCTTCAGGTACCATCTCGATATGTTGTCCTTCTCCTATCCCTGTTCCCACGAGAAACGTGCCCAAGCTATTGCTCCTCTTCCTCACCCTTTCCACAAGCTCGTGCGCACCAGCAATGACAAGAGAGTCGCCCCGGCTGCGTATACCCTCTCTCCCTCCCTTGTCCTCATCCACTTCATACGCAGACTCAGGCCCAGAAGAACTCTCCAACCTGTTTTCCTCCTCTTCCATACCCTCTTTAGCCCTCAGCCCCATCGTCTTCGAACTCATCGGACTGGAAGGACTCTCCCCAAATGCTTCCTTCCGCAAACACTTTGCACCTTTTTCATGCCAATGTCCAAACCCTCCTCCTCTTCCTGGTCCTGATCCTGACCCACAACCAAGACCACTCCCCCGTCCATCCAACTGCAACCCATTCAACTCCCTAGGGCAATTCTCCCTGTGCCAGTGATGATACGCACAAGCCGAACCCGAAGAAGAAGAAAGGGAGAATCGCCGTCTGCGGACGCCGACCCAGATGATTAGAGCTAGTTGGGCAACTAGGATGAAGATGCCGAGGGCTAGGAGGATGATTTCGTGGCGGAAGGCGGTGGTGGAGTGGGAGGATTGAGAGGTGGCGTTGATTTTAGGGGTTGTATTGGATGATAAGAAGAGAGTGGTGGTACTGGGTATTCGATTGGTGGTGGTGAAAATAGTTGAAAAGGCCGAAGTGGTTGATGTGGTGGTTGGAGTGGGTGTAAATTGATTAGTAACCGGCGGGACCGTGACGGTGGTAGCGGCGGCCACTCGACGAAGGACTCGTAGAGTATCGATTGGTTTCGGGTTTGTTTTGGAGGAGAGCAGTAGCGGTTGCGAGGGTGGATGGCGGTGGTAGTGGAGGTTTTGGCCGGGGAAGTGAAGGAGGTCAAAATGGTGGTTGTGGTGATCCATTTTCGGTATGTTTTGAATGCCCTTCTCCGAGGGTGTTGTTGGCTTAAGAGGACAGGTGCTCCTAGGTCGGGTGGGCAAGACCATTAATCGGTATGGTGCTGATGGCCGTCTTGTGGTTGCGGTTGTGACAGTTGTTCTCTTGACGATAATAAGTGCCTTTCCCCGGGTGTCGAGAGTCTATAGGATCGATTGTGCTATCTGGTTGTGGTTCCCGGTGAGTGATCCGGAGAACTCAGGCAGGTGAAAATGCTGAAAAAGGCGAATGTTATCCTTAGGGCGAGGAGAAGGTCATATGGATTTCTAGGTATATAAGGTAAAGATAGGCAGATGAAACACGACCTGCTTCCATTGACGATGTGAACGCCAGCGATCCCATTGCTTGATTGTATACCTGAGGTCGTTTCATTCGCGTTCAAGTTGACTACCGTACCTGCCTTCTTGGCCACTTCGAGGTACTCAACTCTCATTTAAGAAAACAGAAGGCACGAACGGCTACGCCAGACAAGTCCAAGCCTAGAGGTATGAAGTCCATACCTACCTACAGTAGGTGTATCTAACAGCGCATTTCGCGGTCCCTCCCTTCACAGTCAGAAAGATAGCCTCATCCGCGAATGATTTTATCCCTTCCACACGTCCGTCGGAGGTGCTCTCGAGGTTCAAAATAATGTCAACATCTACCTATCCATAACGGCTAATTCCTGGTGGTCCCATCACAACTTGGCCGTGTCGTCCCCCTCAGATAACACCAACCTGCCACCAGGAGGCAAAAGCGTAACATCCTGGTACGGCAAGCCAAGGAACTTGTAGACGAAATGGAATCTGTTTTCGAGTTCGTTGTCAGTCAGCATCAACCCCATCAACCAGCAACGATTTCTTCTCTGCCAAATACACTGTGAAGAATGAACAAAGGAACAAAAGAATATGGAAACCATACCTATCACTCCCAAAAAACGGCTCCTGCCTCCCTTTCTCGTCAGTAACCCAAATCCACGGATTCCCGAACGCCCCCTTATCCAACGCCTCCTGCGTCGTGTTCTTTAGGGCCTCTTTGACTTGAGGTGTTTCAGTCCCCTTCATGATCTCTTCTGTTTGTTCTTTTGTGAACAACTTCGCCTTCTTATGATCCCCTTCACCATTGTGAGCAGCGGTAGAGCCATCAAAGTCCGCCGGACACTCCAACAACGCCTTGGCCACGTTTTCCGGCAGCGTCAGGTCCAGGTTGGGAGGAGACCAGAAGAGATACATGAAGTAGTGTAAAATGGTAAGAAAGGTGGAAGGGGAGTGGTGGGATTTGATGAAGTGGAGGGCGCGGTTGGGCTGTTTGGTTTCTCTTTTGTTAGTTTGGCTGATGATGAGCAAATGAGGGAGAGAAGGTCAGGAAGGAAAAGAAAGCGAGGAGACGATACATACGACAATACTCTTGGAAACAGCCATCAAATCCTTGGGCGTTTGGATAACCAGCCCCGGAAACCGGGCAATGGACCGCCGGACATCATGAGCGAAGTAGACGGCTTTGGCGGGCAGGGTCCAGGGGGGTTTGTTACCTTTTGAGCCAGCCGTTAGTTCACATCAACGTCAAGGTGAGTATAGCAGCGGATAGGCTTCAGCATGAAACATTACCTGAACCGACGACGATAGCCCCAAGAAGAACAGGATGAAATCTAGATGGAGAGGGTGATTAAATCAGGTGGTTAGTTGAGTAATCGCCAGGATCAGGAAATTTCTCTGTTACTTTTCTTCTTGTATGGTATGGAAACACGGAGAGAGACTCACTCAACCTCTACATTGTGTGCTCTGAGAAGTTCACCATTTTGTTGGAGGTCTAGGAAGGCTAGGTAGCTGTATAGGGACACTATTGTATGTAGAGTGTGTGTTAGTCGTCTCAAAGAGAATAATGAGAAGCACACCCACGTTTCTGTTATCCTACCTAGACCAGGTAGGTAGGTGAAGTTCAAGTGGCAGCAGGCCTGCGTTGACTTACCGATGTCCATGTACACATCAATCTTTCCTCCACCCATTGTTGCTGTCTTTCGTTTTCTACCTAGGTATAACCACTTTTCTCTGATCTCGTCTTCTCTGGTTTCGCCCTTGCCTGTTCGTCTCATGCAGTCGCGATAGATGCCGCCAAAGGTTCCGATATTTCAATATCGTGAAGCAAGCTATAAGTACTTTGATGTCGGCGTCTCAAAATGAAGGAATTACTGATTAGTGAACATATCCCAATGTGACTGGCTTGTGATGTTATGGTGTCACTGGTGTCGTTCATTCAACCTCGGTTCGGTTCAGGCCCGTTGAGGGGGGTGGTCTGGCCAACCACATCACAGCTTCCTTTCACAAGCGAGCTGTTACTAGCTCAGCTACGAACGGCTTGCAGCGTTGCATGGCTCGAGCATGGCAAGCGATGAACAGTGAAACAACGTTTTAGTGATTAGTGAACGTGCAGCTTTCAGCAACACCGGCTGACCAGTAGCCGATGAAACCGCGCTGTGAGCTCTAGCCTCCAATCTCTTCAGCTACGAGCCCGATGTCGGGGTTGGTTATCTGCTTAACTTATACTTCTGATATTTTTACTTTTCTACGGACTTATCGTGCGTATTGTTCTGTATTTTTCTATCTTTTGTCCTTCACCTTGGATGTTTACGAATGAAGGAAGTCCTTCGGCGGGGTGTTATGTCAGTACATGGAGGCTCTTGTGCGATATCACTGCGGGCGCTTGACGGCACTTGGGGAATCAAGCGAAGACTTTTGTAGGGGCTTGTGTTTGTAGAGGGGGCTATGGTTTAAAGTAGCTGATGCATCAGTGAATGGAACAGAACAAGACTGCTTCTTTCGCTGGATAGTCAGTCGTCTTCGATCTCCGTCAGAGATCATCTCGATATGTAGTGTGTAGTTGAATGTGGCGACCACCAAATCACACAACACAACAGGACCAGCTCAGCCAGGTGAACGGAAACTTCAGACAGGGCACGCCGTCCACCTTGATACCCGAAATTCACCAGTCTCCCAGTTATGATGTAAATCGCCAAACCCACCACCATTAAGTCCGAAACCCAAAATACGCGAGCCCTCATCAGCATCATATCATCATCTATCATATAACATATCTCCGCGACGACCTTCCCAGTAAAAACGTGGTAAGGTATACTATTCTGAGGAGAAAAAACGAAAGTCGCAAGTCCCACAGTCCATGGAATAGTGTAATCTGGGGATAGCCTACAAAGAGGTAGCAAATGAAACCGAATGAATGAGGATGTGTAGAGGTGAGGCTCCATGTCCGCTCGCTTCGCTTCCAAATTCCCGACCTTCCCTTTTTTGGTATTTTTGCTTTTCACAAGGGACAGACCAAAAAAAAGCCGGGCAGCCGGGCAACCGATCGATACGGATTATTGGCCACTCGGCCGTGCCGAACTTGCTACTGTTCTCGGAATAATTCAGCCCGTTACGGAAAGCCCCTGAAAAAGCAACAAAAAAAACAAAACAAAAAGAGAGATCAAAAAAGAAAATAATTAATGGCACCTTGGCTGTAGTGCACTGTGCACACCATACCACGCTTGCCAGGGCACTTGCACCAACGTTCCTAATTAATCCAACGTCCGTGCCTTATGAGGTTGCAAATTCGATTGGAACACTAATAACTGGACTTCTTGTCAATTATCAATTTTGCCCAACGTTACAGCCGTGGTTTGCCGCGGTTGCTTCGTGGCCCGTGGCCCGGATGTGGGCAGACGTGGGATCCCGTTTGCCCGTATCATATCATATCTCTCAAGATTTAGTTGCGCTCTTGTTCTTCTTCGAAACCGGCTTCTAGAATATCTCGTTTTCCAAAGTTAAGCGAACTTTCGCTTGGGTTCGGTTTCCCCTTCGCGATGAGTGGCATGTGGGAGGCCGAAACGATCGTTGAGGAAGATGAATGGGTTGGGGTTTGCCAGGAGCTGGTGCGCGATCTTGAATATAACACGACAAAGAGATGCGTATTTCGTTTTACCCATGTTGTTTCATTTCAAACCATCCGATCTCTCTTTTTAGAGCGTGTTTCGTATCTGTTATGAGATGAAAGGTCGGTTGTCTTTGGATGATGTTGTTGATGGTAGGGAACTTGCTTTTGAGAGTTTATACGTATGTAGAGTTGTTTTCAAGTGTACCCCAAGCTGCCTTCGCAGCGGGTATACAGATAAGCAACGAGCGGGTGTGCAGGCGTTTCGCCGTTTATCCCTGCTCCCGCTCCTCCATCTTGTCTGCGATATCGCGGCACGTCTCTTGGAACTTAAAGCGGTGGTTTAACAGTGTGCCAGGATGTCTGATACTGACTATGTACCAGAAACCGAACGGAAGTCATTCGGGGTGGGCGTTCACCCCGAAAGCCAGGAACTGGGGAGGGTCAATACGACAAGGAACACATCCATGAAATCGCTGAAATTCCATGACAACCGGGCTTCTTTCTGGGTTTCTTTTTGGGTCTCAGACTTCTGAATTCGCCATACCACTCCATGAGCCATGCCATGTCATGATCTGAAACCGCTCCCGAAAAAAGAACAAGCGAAATCTCAAATCTTGCACTTGCGGCCCGCAAGGGCGAGGATGATGGACATTGAAAAGTGATGAAGGGGCTGCGTGACGAAGGGTAAACCACAAAAAAAAAAAACGTGGCATATGGGGGAGACGAAGCATTATGAAAAACCAAAAACGGTACCTATGTACGGTCCTATGCAAGCAAAGATTGGGTGGCTTCTTGAGTTCCAGTTCGAAGCAACGAAAAAAGGACCGAGTTTTTAGCACAGCGGAGGGAGGTAGGTGGTCTGGCTTGTCCTTGTAGTGCAGTGTAGCGCATCTCCCACTAAAGACACTGCCTGAAAAGAGCAAAGCAAAAAGACCCCAGCGCTCCAGGCTAGAAACCACGCGATGACACCATCGACCAACACCAACAAAGACGGAACGGGAGAGCCAAGAAAAGTCATGATCTCGCCCCCACCAGCTTCAACCAAGAGTGTTGCCGTGCTAGCGATGCATGTCGCGATCCTGTGCAGCACGGTGCCTGACATGAACATAACGCTAGCAATATTGCAACAGTGGAGTACAAGCTCCAGCCAATAGCCGCGCTTACATGGAGTCAGCCCCTAGCCAGAAAAGAGTTTGGTCTGCTCATTTCTGAAATTGCAGACAATTTCGGGCCAAAAGTCTGCGAAGAGACAAGCTCTCTACCATGCACACTACCACTGGCCACTAAAGAGGCACCGTTGCAGCCTCGCGTAACCCCCCCTACCGACGGCATGAATAAGGAGAAATATCAAATCTCTCAGTTTGTAAATAAAGCTTCAAAAAGGAAAGGACTCCAGTTTTGTGCCATATTGACCGGCGTAGTTTCAGCGAAGAAAGGAATGGAGACAGGTGAAGAGGATACCCGGCCAGTTGGCCGGAGATGAGAAAATTGCGGGATTGGCACAACCCCAAACCAACAATGACTGAACCAGAAGAAAAGATAAAACTGAACCATGCCGGGATGATGACTGTTGCTTTCGGCCGCTGCCGCGTGGAGATGGTAGCTGCTGCTCTCGTTTTTCTTTCATTCCAATTCAATTCGCCCGCCGCGATTGTCCTTTGTGGTCCGGCAGTTTTCTTGTGATTGAAATACGGAGTTTGCCGCGCTAAACAGAAGGCGTTGCCGGATTAATCGTACGTTGGTGTTTTAGGGTTTTTTTTTAAACTTGCCGGGTTTTCGTTCTGTGCCGTTCGTCGTGGGTTCGGACCGTTGTTTTGTTGACAATGGCGCCCGGCTGTCCTTTTGTGAAAGTGATATAAACTTATCCAGACGTCTTCCCGTCACTTTCCATTTTTTGGGTGATGATTTCTCGTGACTGTCCAAGATATCACAATAGGATGTTTCAAACATCCACCAAAATTCATGAGCGTGGATCTTGTTTGAAGAAAAAAAAAGACCATCGGTCCTTGCTGATCACATGAGGCGGGGGTATCGAAAAACGGGCCCTGCAGGGGTGGAGGCAGGTGGGAGTGGGACATGGCGCATCGGCATGGTCAATGCTCTGTGGAGAAGGAATCTCTCAGTTCGGATTTAGTTCCAACCCGTCCATTTCGTGCTTTCAGTTCCATTCATTCCCGTAGGTCCTTCCAGTTCGTGTGGGGTTGCGGGCTCCGTTGTGAGTGATCGTGGTTGTTCCTGCGATGTCCTAGATGAGCAAACAATACTGCGGCCGGCGGGAGGAAGGAAGGGAGGGAGGGATGAAAAGAGAGAGTGGTGTTGGCCATCAAGCAAACATTTCGAAATCCTTTCAAGCATCGGCATCGTTGCAGTTTGAATACCTGTCTGTCCTATCAGATTTAACGACAGCCAAAGCATACATGATATGCTCCTACCTTATAGAACCAAAGGCTGACGTGTGTCTGATACATGTCTCCTTTGTGCCGCATGGATCGTCAATCCCGGCTAATCTGGTGGTGGTTTCAAAGTCGCACTTTATTAGATGCATATGCACGCATGGAAATCCAAGAATCTGTCTAAACCTCGTCCAGGGGCCTATAGCAGGCGTCGAATCTTTGTTCACGGTTGACGGCCTCATGACTAGTCGAAATGAGCTTGAGGTTGTTGGGGATTTCCAGAGCCCCGATATCCTAAGAAGAGGCGTCGAAGAGGCTCTCCGAGACGTCGTCGCCGCCGCTTCTGCGGTCCGTTAGTTCTACTTTGTGCCATTTGGACCAACTCTGCTAGTGCAGGGCTGATCTGTGTACATATACACTTCGTCTACAGACAGACCTGTCACTGGCATTGTCGAAACTGTCACGTATAAATTCTAACGATACCGCACACTGCCCGTGCCGCATCATACCGGATGCATCAGCACCGGTGGTGGACCCGGATCCGAAGCACCGGCGCAAGCCTGCCGCTGTTTGATGACTGATGTTGATCGGTTCAGGGTCGGTCAGGGGTATCGGGCATGGCTTCGCGAGTGTCACGGAGCCCTGCCGTGCTGTGGTCGGATCGGTGCCGTATCCGTGCCAGATCGTGTTCTAACCGGAGCCTGTCCAATGGACCAGGTGCAAATTACGACTCTCCAACCTCGAATTCGACAGATCAGGGTTCAGTGACATGGCAGACAGATGGAATGAGAAGGGGATTATCCTCATAAGCCTCGTTTCCCAATCGCTGAACCGTATCGCACATACACAAAATCCGCGCACGACGTGATGTGCTCAGCGGCGTGATACCATATCAACTGTAGAGATTCTCATGGTCTTTCCCGTACCTTTGCTGATACAGTGTTGCTAATTCTGGCCCATGACAGTTCAGTGGGTTTCCAACGTCTTGTTTTTTTTGCAATCACTCAAGCGGTCATCGTGTTGACAGAAGCCATTAATCGCAGTGACTGCGCATCTGTAGCGTATGTAGTGGTGTTGTATGTACGAAGTCGGTAGTGTGTGTACGGAATATGGAGATGGTAGCTAGGCACTACACTACATTGCTTCTTCTTCTTCTGTTCCTGACCCGGAGGTACGGACGAAACGGGGCTCGACACGGCTCCAGCGCAAAAACATGGCCGCGTTGGGATGCCGACTAGCCTTTGCCCAGAGATCCACTCTTTGAGCTAAGTCAGGAGAACCAAGAAACATGAAAACTGGAAACGCTTTTTTTTCATTCGACCGACAATGGCTGTTATCGGCTGGCCAAATTTCAAACGGTCAGGATGGGCAGTCTTGGGGTAAAATTCGCCCACCGCCATGTGGCCATCCCCTTGGTGATGGCATGGGATGGGCCGGACTGGAGCGAGGAACTGGAGCAGAACAGGGCGATTGTCGAAATGCAAAGGGTGATGGTGTCCAGTGGTGTCCGCCGTTTTTGTTCCGTTCCATGTCATGCCAGGTACGGATGCCACTGGAGGCCAGGGGCACACGTCGGTGGGAGATGGATCAAAACTGAATGGATAGAGAGGGTCTCGAAGGGGGTGGGCGATGTGACGCTCTTTCCACAGTCGACGCGGTGCATGAACATGAACAGCAGCCTAGAGTAGCATCCACTCGCAATGTTTGGAACTAGGAAGCCAGGCACAGGGCAAGGCAGCCAGTCGCAAAGCAAAGGGCAGAGCCGTGTTATCAAAAAAAAAGAGGTTCCAAATAGGACGAAAAGGGTCAATGATGGTCGCACAGGTCGGCATCCAAACGAGGAGGAGTCGTCCATCGTCCCAACTCCCAAGGCCGGCAGCCCAGGGTCTGTTGCATTGGCCCACTTGCATGCACGCAACGACCGCCTCTGATTAGCCAGAGTGGCATCGCAGCTGGAGCCCATCTCACCTTGGAGAGTGCGCGGTGGGTTCCTGCTGGGTCGCTGCCCCCGAAATTCACTGATGGAACTGGGACAGGAAATCGGAGTCCCGTCTAGCGTAGTGCCTGTACTGTGCGCCTGCCCGATGCCTGTACGCACTACGCAGTCAGTACGCATCAGTGCTGGAGTGTGCCTGGTCGCCTGGTTCGGGTCTGGTGTGAGAGTGCGCACCATTTCACTGCTCACATTAACACCGACAAAGCCAACCTCCCATTCCTCCACCAATTCCCCAATCTTTCCCTTCCTTTCGTTTTCCGTTTTCCGGCTCGACACCCTTCCTCCCGCAACCGCGAATTGCTGAGAGAGTCCAGCAGCAATTGTACTCTTGGCCGCCTACCTCGCGACAATTACCTACCTATCGTATGGTCTTGACGACTTTCTAATTATCGAGCTGCACCCCGTCTCTCCCTTTCGCACCAACCGATCCGACGCTCCCCTTCCAATCAAGTGCGGTTGATTGAAGGCCTAATTGCAATTGCGTGGTATACTGCCGGAAAAAAAAAAAAAGTGAGTATTTAGGTTCGCAACATGAGCACTCCATTCAGTCCAGCGCAAGAGAACGAACGCCTTTGCATCCCATCATCCTCCCGCCTTGTCGTGCTGCCCTCAAAGGCTGTCTGTCCTGTTTGCTGCCCATCAATCGCACCTCACCGAGCGCTGCCATGCCCAACAATCGACACCTTCGAAACTGCATCGACCATCGAGCCTCGATCCGGCATCTGTTTGCGGTTTCAACGGGCGCAATGACAGCGACTCCGAGGCTTTTCGGGGGTGGTGGTTCTAGCTCGTTTCTGGAAGGGCACCCGCTATTTTTCGCAGCGGAGACTCCAACTGGACTGCCTCCCGTCCCCCAGAGACCAGGGGGTTCTCGCCCCCCCCTAACACTTACAAATACAAATCGCCTGTCGACGTCCCAGTTCGTCTCAATTATCATCGCTCTGATACTAACCTCAAACTCGTCACCAGACCGTCGATAATAATCCCCGAATAACGAAACAGACACTCTCTATCATTGCTACGAGCTACAACAAGTCGCCAAAATGGGTTGCGGAATGAGTACAGAGGAGAAGGAGGGCAAGGCCCGGAACGAGGAGATTGAGAACCAGCTCAAGAGGGATCGCATGCAACAACGCAATGAGATCAAGATGCTTCTTCTGGGTATGTCATGTCTCCCGACAAGCCAATTGCTGGCGCGGCCCTGGTCCGGACCCTTGGGTCACCAATGAAATTTCGCGGAAGCTGACAATATGTTGCAGGTGCTGGTGAATCCGGAAAGTCGACCATTTTGAAGCAGATGAAGCTTATCCACGAAGGAGGTTACTCGCGCGACGAGCGCGAGTCGTTCAAGGAAATCATCTTCAGCAACACTGTGCAGTCCATGCGCGTCATTCTCGAGGCCATGGAGTCCCTAGAGTTGCCACTCGCCGATCAGCGCGTCGAGTACCATGTCCAAACCATCTTCATGCAGCCCGCTCAAATAGAAGGTGACGTGCTGCCTCCTGAGGTCGGCAATGCTATCGAGGCCCTCTGGAGGGACGCTGGCGTCCAGAGCTGCTTTAAGAGGTCGAGGGAATACCAATTGAACGACTCGGCAAGATAGTAAGTTTCCGCATGATGAGGGAGGCTCTGGTCTCCAACCGCTAACATGCTGTCACAGCTACTTCGATAACATCGCCCGTATCGCCGCGCCCGACTATATGCCCAACGACCAGGACGTTCTGCGATCACGTGTCAAGACAACCGGTATTACGGAAACGACCTTCATTATTGGCGATCTTACGTACCGTATGTTCGATGTCGGTGGCCAGCGTAGCGAACGTAAGAAGTGGATCCACTGCTTCGAGAACGTCACCACCATTCTTTTCTTGGTCGCCATTTCCGAGTACGATCAGTTGCTTTTCGAAGATGAAACCGTCAACCGTATGCAGGAGGCCCTTACTCTGTTCGATTCCATCTGCAACTCCAGGTGGTTCATCAAGACATCCATCATTCTTTTCCTCAACAAGATCGATAGGTTTAAGGAGAAGTTGCCGGTCAGCCCGATGAAGAACTACTTCCCCGATTACGAGGGCGGTGATGACTACGCTGCCGCTTGCGACTACATTCTCAACCGCTTCGTCAGTTTGAACCAGCACGAGACCAAGCAGATTTACACGCATTTCACATGCGCGACGGATACCACACAAATTCGTTTCGTCATGGCTGCGGTCAATGGTACGTTATTTGCCTACTTCAAAATTTTGCGTGGACAAGAAGCTAATAGACAAAAACAGATATCATTATCCAGGAGAACCTGCGTCTCTGCGGTTTGATTTGAGCATTGAACGCAATCTTTCTAATTTTTTCATCAGTTAATGGGGCTGTGAGGTTCGGGCAAGCGGTTGATACCGATCAGAACTTCGAGTGTTGCCGCCCAGTCGTTGCCGCTGGCTCCCTGCCCACAGTTTCTGCCTCCAGATTATGATCTAGTGGAGGTGGCGTGGGCTTTCGAGTGGATATGAGCTCTACATACACCTCGGGGCGTCCCTGGAGAAATTGCATTTGAGAAGCATCATCAAGAGGGGGGCTAACTATTTTGTTTAATCATGATTCCCCATCGACCTTGGAGTCTTTGCTCTCTATCGGTGTTCTGTACGATTTCTTTTTTTCTATCATCTTTTTCTATCCCCTCTGATCCGGGCGCTTTTCACCTTGCTCTTTCTCCCCAGGGACACCGCGGCTGCTATGGGAAGCAAAAGCCCCTCTCAACAAAAGAAATGGATGATTTTGGCGTGCGTGCTTTTCTCAATCTTATTTCGGGTGTCCTTCCATGAGTGGTGTGGGAGAAAGTAATGGGATCCAAGCCCATGGGTTCTGGGGAGAGGATGCTGGAAACAAATAGGTCGCTACCGATTGGGGGGAAGGTAGAGAAGGGAAAGGCGAAGAAAGAGCAGGGGTTACCAAAACCACGACGGACGAAGAGATGAGCGACGCCCGTTTCGTTCCGCTATTTTCCCCTCTGTGGCTGTAAGAGGGCAAAGAAAAACAGAGGGCGGGAAACGTTGCGGCGCGCGCGCGCGTGCAGCAAACGATATACCAAGACAAGCGAGGTCTCTTTTCCTTTTTTTTTACTCTACTTCTTCTGTTTTTTCCAAGAAAGTTTATTCGCGTGATGTGTTATCTTTGTTTTTGCAGGCGGCGTGGGAGAGGGGAGCAATGGCGGTCCCGGTTTCCTATGGGCAACGCAACGGTTGGATTTGTCTTGTCTGTCTATACCATACCAATACCGATATTGAAACGCGATTAACTTGAAAACAAAATATGATTCCATAATCTATTGATAACCGTGACACTAGTGATATAAAGCTTATACATATCGTAATAGTGAGGCGTAATTTGACCAAGTACCAAGCAAACGTGGGTGTGTTGTATCGAAAAAGGGGAACCACAGCAAGAGGGTAGCACGACATGCGGGAAGGAAGGCAGGCAACTGTCCAACTGGCATAGGGTAATATAATCGCCACGAGGGAATGAAGGGACGAAAAAGGAGGAAAGGAATCCTTTTGTGTCACCAATATAAATCATGCGGCATTCTTTTCGGGTAGCAAACATGGCAGAAAGCACCCGACACCACCAAGTAGCTAGGTAGGTGTAAGTGGTAAAAGATCAGACAGCCCTGCCCATACTAGGAATATGAATAGCTACACCTCGGAACGTTTACACACCACATACTCAGCATGGCGTTCGTCGGAACACTGTAAGATTACTATTCATGTTTTTGTGGTGATGAGCTTGGTGTTCGGAAGAAAGGGGGAGTGTCGAATACCTCTATGGAGTTAGATTGTTCTTACTCCTCACCTCTGATGGGAATGTTGCCCGTGTGCAACGGTGGGTAGTCTCGTGTGAATTTACCACAAGGACGTCCCAGAGTAGATCCTAGAAACAAAAAATGAGGACGAGAGTCACCATCGAGAACATCAAGCTTTTGAGGTTTCCTGAAAATGTGATGGCGATCACAAGGGATGGAAGCTAAGATGCTGCTGCATAGTATGCCGAGGGCTGGGCTGGGATGACGCGAGGAAGCTGAAGGTTGGAGGTTGTAGTCATGACTTGTTGAGATCGAGGTAGTGGACTATGATGGAGATGTTGAAGCTGTATTACCTATTTCTTTGTAAGTAGAGCGTTCAATAAACAACTGGGAAAGTCTGCTGCTAGGCCTCGTACCATTTGTATGATTGATCTTCCAGAGAATAACGAAGAGTCAAGTCCATTCATCTTAAAGCTATCGAGATGATACAATTACCCTTATGCGTTGTTCCTTCTTTTTCCCTCTTACTTCCATTTCCCTGTTTCGTTTGTATACAACAGAGGAGTTGAGATCTGAAATTTGAAGTTCGAAAAGTCATGTTCAAGAATGGCTCACTATGCTCATACGCTACGGCACCTTCTCTCTGTCTGATCCCATAGGATATCCGCAGGTCAAGAAAATGCAGCGCGGTAGGTATATGAATCTCAGACGGAGACAGGAGGAAAGAGGGGGACGATGTAGGTTGTCATAAAATCCATCTAACTCCGTCCTGTCTATTTGCAGTAGTACCGGTAGAATTTTAGATTGCGGGACGTATACTACACTTTGTTGGTAGGACGACGCTTGTTGTTGATAAGACTACACTGACTGGTATTCCTCGAAAAAGTGAAAAGAAAACGTCATGGGACTCGTTCATCCTGCACAAAAACTTACCTCCGCCAGTTTTCACTTGGAGTCATTGTATCAGATGTATCTTCTTTTTCCTTTCTCCTACTTACTGCTCGTCCTGAGTTTCCCAAGTCATTCATCATCAGGTACTTGGAAACCAGCGGAAAACCCAGTCCCTCCTCCCACACTATCGAGTAGCAACCACCTTCAAGAGGAAGGGCCAACACGCCGTTTCGTCGAGGACAGTCATCGACGACTTATAACATTCCATGTCAGGCTACATGCAAATGGTTTTACTCTCTCAACCTAGCATTGCTGGCAGTACTTGTCGTCTCAAGCCAACGATACCCTTATTGCCCCGGGAGAAGGAAAGGAGATGGACATGATAACAGAACGTCTGCTGCAACAGATCATCGTCACAACCATCATCTTGACATCCCTCACTTCCCCGGCCCGGTGAAAAAATCTCCACACCAGCCTGCCATTCACCCATTTTCACCATCGCCAGGTATCGCTATTGCATCCTCCGGATGTGACGCGAAGTTAAGTGACGCTCTCACGAGTCCTACGCCGAGTAGGTAATCACCGCTACCATCTTTTACCAACCTTCAGTTACCTTTTCTTCCCCTTCTTATTAGCACCAGCTTCGACTGCTGATCGGCAAGAAGAGGGGTAAGGTAAACTCTCTGAAGCGAGTCTACCTTCAAGGTTATTTTCAGATCTCAAAAGGGCTCCGAAGGCGTGCATACATAGGTAGAGGTACCCAACAACCTTGGGATGTTGAACTAACTGTTTGAGACTGGAAGTTCGACGTAGACAATTTTCCTTTGTTGAGTTTACTTGACATTCTCAATTTGGAGGAGAGGTCGTTGATCTAGTTCTGTATCAGCGGAAACCAACCCCCCAAATAATCGAATAAGCTCCCAGGATACATTGGGAAATCATTGTGAACAAAGGACCAAAAAGCGTTGTCGTCGGCATCCGCTGCTAGCGGCTAGGTACCCCCGACTGGTGTTATGGAGCCACTCAACAATAAAGTCGTCCAAAAAAAAAGCATGGAAAAAAGAATCATTTCGACGTGGGCCTGATTCGAACAGACGCTCCCGAAGGAACAAGATTTCTAGTCTTGCGCGTTAGACCACTCCGCCACCACGCCAGTTGATGATTGGTTGATGATAACTGCATTGAGAAGTTGGGATCATGAGTCAGACAGGGTGGTGCATGGGTACAACTTGCCAAACGACTTCTGGATGAGAAATGCATGTTCCTTTGCAGTGAAAACTAGGAATTGCAAGGAATTGATAGTGACTGTGACTCTGGTTTCATGCAAGTTGTGTTTTGCTTTGGTGCCTTCAACGCGTTGGAAGGTTCCGATATTGAAAACTGGGGTATCTCTATTTGGCGATCGTAAGAAATGAAATTGTGTTGCATGGTGCTGTCCTTCCTTGTGGTGGTAAGGGAGACGCCATCCATACAACAATGATAGGCAAGCGACCAATGGATGACTGGAGATCGTGCCACGCTCACGTCTTCCCCGCCTGCGCCATCCTCGCCCTCCTTGCCTCCTCCTCCCTGCGCATCTCGCTCCTGGCCAAGAAATCCTGCCTCGCAGCAAACGAGTCCTTGGACTTGCCGGCCAGTTCGAGCTCGTCCTTGAGGCCCATCTTGTCGACCGCCACTGCCCAGTCCATCTTGCTCTTCTCGACCGTGTTGAGCTTCTTGGCCTTGTTGCCCGTGGCTTCGCGAGCCTGCAGGCGGGAGGCCATGCTCAGGTTGAGGTCGGAACGATGCGCCGAGTTGGCGTCGGTGATGGGCTCGAAGACGGACCGGAAAGCTTTTCGGGGCATGCGCTTGGCAGAGGAGGACTCGTCCTCGGCGGCTGTTTCGCCGTCGGCTGGAGCGTTCTCTCCGAGAGAGGCGAGATAGAGTTTTGCTTCGGCAGAATCGCGGGCGACGAGCTTTTCTTCAGTGTGGACTTTGCCGGCGAAGTTGTAGGTTCTCTTGATCTTTATGAGGTCGGAATCGGGATCTTTCGCCTTGGCTGTTTCTGGCTGCTGGGATGACGATTTCGCGATGTCACGGTTCGCTGCATCGGCGCTTTCGTCTGGTTTCGCTGTACTTGTTCGTGGTATGACCGGCTCGCTGATCATTTGCGCCCAAAGGGCATCGACGTCGATTGTAACAGGTCCGCTGGCGGCGGCTGTTGAACGTTTCTCCTTTCTGCCATTGTCGTTAATGACCAGGACCCAAAGGGAAGAGGATTGATGTGAAAACATACTCAACGGCGCGTTGGCTGCGCGTCTTGATGAGACCGCCCTCGCCAGTTTCCTCATCGTCGGCAGCATTTTTTGTCTTTGTTTTCTTTTGACGTTTCTCCCCCTTCTTTATTATAGCTTCATCTCCGGAATTGTCATAACCAGCGTCTTCCGCCTCGTCAATGGCAGCGCGTTTCCTCTTCTCAGGTTTCGATTTCTCGGCATCGTCACCGGCTTCTTCGTCGTCATCGTCGGATATTGACGATTCTTCCGCGGCTTCGGCAGTTTCTGGGGCGAAGTCGGAGTCTTCCTCTGACGCGTAGTCTTCTGCGAGAAGTTCCAGTGTTGGCGGCATCTTGATATCTCTCGATTGTAATAGTCTGGTCTTCCTCAAGCTATTCGCGTAAAATCCTCGTTGCCGTATGTGTCGTCGTTCCAGGAATGGTTCCTCTTCCAAGTATCGTGGGCCGGAATATCAAAGTGGAAAAGTGATGAAGGGAATAAGGACGGGATCCATGTCT